TGATAACATTGTGTGTTTAGCCTCTAGAGTCCTTTGTTTTCACTACTTTTAGTGTGTTTTCCCTTCTGTTTCATAGTTTTTTTTTTTTTTTGCATTTAGAGTCTTATTGTGTCTTTGTTGTGTGTTTGTGTAGCTTTTAAGTAAATTTTAAGTTAATGCAATGGAGGACACACTTTTGAATGCAAACAAGCAGAATAACAATGCATGAACGGTTTCAAGCATCTCAAATATCATGTCTAAAGGTTTCCACTGATCTGATTAAGCTCAAATTTTGACAAGACATCGGAAATTGAGTTAGCTGCAGTTTGGAGTGGTGATTCAGGAATTATGACTATTTTTGTGAAGACTTATCATTGTGCTGCAAAAGAGGAAGTAATTGATCCACATGGCAAGCCACCAGCTAGTGGGTGGCGTGACTGAAGAAAGAGGAATTTAATCCACTGACCCGTCCACCGGGTGTTGGTTTTGCACTCTCAAGCCGGTGGACGGGTCAGTGGATTAAATTCCTCTTTCTTCACTCAACCCATTAAAAGACTTACCATAGTTCTTCCATAAATACAAGCCTTGTAAGACGTAAAAACTTAAGTTTTTTTCCTCTAGATGTAGTTTTGGAGTGGGCCATGAATGCTCCATAGAACGCTGTAAGGTTTGGGTAGGTGTTAGTGTCTTGCTGTGGTTGTACTACATCCAAACTTCAAAAATTTTGTTGTTATGACTCTAGAAGGCTAACAATGCTAGTGAGTTAGTACAGTTTGTCCTAGAGGTGATCGTTCTCTTCCATGTGTCTCAATAGTTCACTGACAACCAAGGTTCTCTCCTCTTTTTTTTAAGTAGGGGTAAAGGTCAAGGCATGATCTTTTGTCGGTTCCTAGACTAGAGGGTTTATACTGAGTTGGTTAGGATCTTTTTATGAATTTTACATAAAATTAGAGTTCATTTTACAAGTTTTACAGCAATTTAGGACTTTTTGTAAGATAAATTTAACCGAAATTGTGGGATCCGCTGTGGGGTCTTATGCAATAGCACACCTTGCACTAGGGGTGAAATTATAATCCGGGATCCGAGATCCGATTCGGTATCTGTTCCGAAAATTAGGATATTCGGGAAGTCCGGATCCGGACAAGGATAATAAAATATAGGATCCGTGAAAAGAGGATCCGGATCCGGATAGTAAAATTTTAAGATCTGGATTTCTAGATCTTGATTCGGACGCATTAAATATATCAAAAACATATATCTTTTACATATATTAAGTTATTTTTATCTTAAATATATATAAATTTTAATTTTACTCCTTTTTATAATAGATATAATATTTATTTCTAAGAATATCATGCAAATTTTAATTAATAAATTTTAAAAACTGTTTTTTAAAAATATTTTTAAAATATTTTTTTTATTATTTTCAGATCCGGACCCGGATCCGGATATCCGGCGGATATCCTGATTTTTGGTCGGATATTTGAAGTTCGGATATTTGAAGTTCGGATATTTGGAGCCACTGATCCGGATCCGGACACCTTAAACACGGATCCCACGGATCCGGATCTGAATATCCTGGAAAAGTCCGGATATCCGGATCCGTCCCAGTCCTACTATGCACCCCTTAGAACTAAGCATGGCTGAGACGCGTCCACATTAACTATCACCAAGGTTCTTGGTTATATTATATTCCTGACGTGATGTAGTGAGTTTTAATCCCATTTAAACTGACTGAAAATCCACAGGGACTTCGTATTGTATTATAAAAAAATCTTTAAGAATTAAATTTCGCTAAAACAAAAGAAATATAGTTTTTGGTTTTTATTAAATAAAGGCACGAAAACTTAATTAAAAGCCTAAAAACTTTGTAGACAAAGATTCATTGAATAAAAGATTGATAAAATATAAACATTAGGCAATAGATTCATCGTAGAGATTCAAAAATTATAAACTATCTATCTGATTTTGGGGATTTTAGAAAAACTATTCTAAAATACAAATTACTATGGTATAATCTTTCCATTGTCGTGCCTCTGATAATGATATTTAGACAACCTAAGGGCATCTCCAATCCTACTCAATTTTTCACTCCAAAATAGAGTTTGGAGTAAAATTTTCTCCAACTCTACTCTATTTCCAATTCGAAAATAAAGTTAAAATGAATTTACTCCAATATGAAGTAATCCCATTTTTCACTCCATATTTTTATTCTTCACCCCATTTTCTATTCCAAAATAGAGTAGGGTTGGAGTAAAACTTAACTCCATTTTACATTTACTCTATTTGGGAGTTAAAAAATAGAGTAATGGGTTTGAGATGCTCTAATAGACTCAACTATCACATGTTAGTATTAGTTGAAAACTTGCATTAGTTTGATCAGAATTTAATTGTTCACCATACTCCATAACTAAACGTCCGATTGGTTATGATGCAATTCTCATCAAATACTAGTTTAGAAAATATAAAAAAGTTTTGGAGAATATATTAATCAAACGTCTAATGCTAGTTGATCAAAAAAACATCCAGCATTACGAGCAAGTAAATATGAAAAACCTTTAGATTATCCCTAATTTATTCTATAAAAGCTAACAATTCATGAACTCATTGATTACCTACCTACGTATTAGTATTCATAGAACAAATCAAAACAAGAAGGATTCAAGAATTATTCTCTACATGAAGATACAAAGGTGATTTATTCTCCATTGAAACTCTTGAATCAAAACTTCAATGGATAATAATCTGTAAAAACGTGGCTAATGTTTTCTTTGGTGCAATATGGAGGCTTTTTACAACAAGAGGCTATAAACAAGTTTTTGTTAGTCTAGGGTCAACTAGGGTTAAATTTAGAGCAAACTGTGAAATTTGGTGCAAACTGTCCAGTACGGGTAAACGATGTTGGTCTGGATACGTGATCGGTAATGGAAAGTTTGAAAATCTCGTCCAAAGTGTTGATAACGGTCCTGAGCCTGCTTCAGTTTCGAGGCAAAATGACCTATCTTCGGTAAAATCGGTGCAACTGTTCAACCACAGCTCCAAATGTCATGATTCACACTCCACTGGAAATTTAAATAAAGATCTATCTAATCACCAATTTGTATCCAATTCCAAGTCGGTTTGAGCATCCACCTGTAGTTAAACGCCTGGTGCATTTGTTTTGTCCAACTTGGGAAAATGCATTAACTTGAAAATATTGTGACTTCCTTAACTTGTGTGAGCTACGATACTTTGGTTTACACCTATTTAAGTCTTCTTTGCATCATTTTTACGAATTACCTTGTAAAGACTATAAAATTACAAATACGAGACAAACTAAATTTAAAGACATAAAACTTTATTAAAATGCATAGAAAACATATTAAAAACCTTACTGAAATAGGTAAAATATAGAGTGTATTATTAGGCTTGCTTGCTCTCAAGATAATGCTCCCACTTTATAGCGGCATAACTTATAGGGGATTTTTGTCCTAGGATCTAACAATTAGGAAAAAGTCTCTTACACAAGCAAGAAACACTTCGAAACTTGAAAAACAGGTTGCTGAATGCTGAATTTAGAAAATAAGAATAAAGAAAAGAGAAAGATGACGATTATAAGTTGTGTAAAGTAAGTGATGCGGACATCGATTCAAACAACGATCTAGGCCAAGTCCATGTGGTTAGAGATGCACCAATGACGAGGTCAAGGACCAAACAACTAAGGAAAAGGTTCAACCTAGCAGTAGAGGCCATCATCAATACAATGGAACCACAAGATCTCATTGGTTTAGAACCAATGCCCAACATAATTCCACACTGTCCTGAAGAGGATCTAATAGAGGGATACACTCGTCTTACGATCAGCCAGTCATCCCAACTACAAGCTCCAGGTAAGCCTTTCCTTTCTAAAGGTTATACACTTCAAAATACTCTTAATGCAGGAGAACACAAGCTGGGAGAACCAGAGCTGTGCAATACACGACATATAGACCAAATGGAGCAACTACTGGAGGAAAACAACAAGGGAATGGAAAGAACTCAAGACGAAGATCAAGCTGCCTCAGAGGGTTCCCAAGAGACTTCCTGCACCCAAGAACACAGCCAGAATGAGCTAAGATCAGAGGCGTCTCAACACATCTCAGCTCTGCCTCATATGCACCAAGGTAAGGTTTATTCAATTTATACTATCTTTACATGTTCAAACAGCCCCAACAATGGCTAGTTCTTCATCAAACAACCAGAGAAGTCGAGTATAAGTCTGCACCATAGTTTCCATATTTGGTTCACACTTATTTTGCTTAAAACGTTGAGTTTTGTATTTTTTTTCTTTGTTTTGCGTTTTGTTTACTTGTTGTTGCGTTTTGCTTTTACTTTCGGCCCTAGGGCCAGCTGACGGACTCTTATAAAGTCCCCCCGCAGCAATTGTACCTTTTTTTACCTTTGATTATCAATAAAACACCGCACTTTCTTCTAAGTGTTCTTGAGAGAAATCTCGCTTGTTCTAGCCTTCTGTGTGGATTCACGTGAGGCTGAGCTTCTGTGCTGTATCAAAGATCAATCACAACTCTGTGGTGCACTTCTTTCCGCCATCAACATCATCTAACTGATCCCACACGAGAGAGCGACCGCCATCGTGTTAGATCTCCATCTACGACCATCGTTTGAACACAAGAGAGAGCGACCGCCAGCTTGTGTTCCCATCTCTTCCTGCTACATTGAAGCTCACCGTA